GTTATTGACCAATAGGAAAACAGACAGATTCACCAAATATGTTCACATGCATATTTTTTTCTTTTCGGAAATATCCAACATATTTGCCAAATATGTTTCACTTTTTCAATTAATAATTTGGTCAAACCTACACTTTTTGAAAACACCTGCAACAAAGCTACCCTGTTCCGTCATTTACTCCAGTGTTCGATCACTGCCATGTACCTAGGCGCTAACTAGCATTGCCAGATTCTCAGACAATGATATAAATATATGTATGCATTTTCCACCCGCATGGGTAGCTCAGTTGGTCCAATGATATAAATATATGTATGCATTTTCCACCCGTGTGAAGGTTACAACTCCTGCGTGCTGGGCTGGATCTCTGATGCGCACGAGTATAACGCCTACCATCATTGGACCGACTGAGTCACTGTGACTTACATCCTCCCAAAAATCCAATCAGGTCGGGGTGTGGGGGGCTCATGAGGTGGGGGATTTCACCTTTTGGAACAATGTATGCATTTTCGCATCTTAATACTAACTAGTTAATCCACCCACGTGTTGCACATGAGTGAAATATGTACATAAAAGCTTATATAATTTATAAATAAAGTAAAAAAATTAATAGAAAACCACTCAACTGAAAACATAAAATAAAATAAGAAGTCATATTTAATAGAAAGTTTAAAAATAATGCTCGAAGTTAAATGTAAACCATGATGTGATAAAATAAAATAGGTATGCATATGTGATAAAATAAAATAGGTATGCATGTATGTAAAACAAACGGTTAAGGGAAACTATAGACTACTATAAATTTCTTTGTATACAACATTTAACACTGACTTCATTGGTTGTCCTTCTTCGTCACATATAACAGACTTTAACCCACACAAAATTTTATTCCGAATCGCAACACACAATTGTTCATGCGTCAAAATAGAACGACGGAGGAAGATGCTAACCTTTTCCATCGACTATCCTAACTCTTATTAGTGGTTATTGCATAGCTAACCATTAAAGGAAACTATCTATGTCGAAAAGTGAACAAGTGACTAATGTATAATGGTGTCAAAGTAAGTCAACGTAGTGTAAAAGATCATTATATTTGTTTTAAACAATTTTATGTTTTTCAGCTCATACAAAATGATGCTCATAGTTCCAAACATAGCCTAAGTTAATTCTCTCTAATAGTGTCAAATTGTAAAGATGTGATCCTTTTATTCCCTTGTCCTATTTGAAATGGGAAGGGAAGAACTTACACCTATTAGTGGTTTACTTCTCAAAATAAAAGGTAAGAAACTTTTGGAGACAGATTAAAAAATGGTAGAAATTACTATTAATCTCTGAGATTATATCATAATTATTAATGCAATCTTTCATTTTTAAAAGGAGTTTTTGACACTTTTGGTCCCCCGAGTATTGTGTCAGTGACACTTTTGGTACACGACTTTTAATTTTTTCATTTTTAGTCCTCGACTATTGTTCGTGAGACACTTTTAGTCCTCTACTTTCAAGTTTCTCACATTTAGTCCTTTGAGTATTATCAAATTGACACTTTTAGTCCTTCTACTATGATTTTGACACAATAAGTGGAGGACTAAAAATGTCTCTCTAGCAATAGTTGGACCAAAAGTGTCACTTCTACAAAATTCGAAAGACTAAATACGGAAATTTTCAAAGACGGATACCAAAAGTGTCTCTCGCACAATAGTCAAGGACTAAAAGTGGAAAAATTAAAAGTCGAGTACCAAAAGTGTCACTGACAAAATAGTCGAGGGACTAAAAGTGGTAAAAACTCTTTTCAAAAATCAATTAGTTAACCCCTCAGTTTTGATCATTCTTACTAAATGCCCTCTCATGTTAATATGTGTAAAATTAAATTTAATATAACTCTTAAATTCAATGAAACTTGTCTATAAAATTAAATTTTAAAGTAAAACACAATTTATTATCATAATTATAAGTCATTGTTCTTGATCATTATTTTTGTACTTATCTACTCAATCGTGGAATAAATATTAATGAAAGTAGTTAAGGCCGAAGACTCACAATCTGAGTAATATTCATGGGATACATAAAAAGTTGTTTGAAATATGCGTTATAAAAAATCTCTAGACACCTCTTCCTCATGAATATAAAAGTCTTATTTTTAATTTATCCGACTGAACTAATCTCAATGACATTTCTTTCGTGTGCAGAAAAGAAGAAATACCAAAAAATGTTTTTTTTCAAACAATGACCTAAAAGATTGGTCTAAAAGATATAAGATCTAAATTATTGAAAGCTATATATGTAAGACATATAATATATATCATAAATTTTGATTTATTTAATTTTTATATTAATTCTATTACTAATTTTTTCTTCACAAAATGTTTATTAGTTTAATAAGATTAAATGAAATTTATTGTATTAAATTAATGAATACAAAAACTCGTGACTCTTCTTTCTTAAATACATTTATTAATATTTATTTCATGATCGAGTAGCTAAGTAGAAAAATAATGATCAACAACAATGACTTATAATTATGATAATAAATTGTGTTTTACTTTAAAATTAAATTTTATAGACAACTTTTATTGAATTTAAGAGTTATAGTGAATTGGGAACCCCAAACTTTGAAGGGTTGTGATGTGAACACCCCAAACTTGCATATGTAATTTAAATACTTCAAACTTTATATAAAGAGTTATTTACGCACCATGATCATGTATTATTTCTTTCAAAAAAGTAAATTCATTGTGTTAATTGCATTTTTTAAAATAGAAAATTAAAAGCATTGGGGGTAATATTATTTATTTCACAATGAAAGTTAATAATGTTTATTGTGTCTTCATGAATGCTAAAATATTTTAAAATTATGCAATTGACACCATAAACTTACATTTTTGAACGAAATAATACTTGACTATGGTGCTAAAATAACTTTTTATATAAGGTTTTGGGTATTTTAATTACATAAGCAAGTTTGGGATGTTTATCTCACATCACTTCAAAGTTTGGAGTATTTTAAATAGTTTTCCCTGATAAATTTAATTGAACAAATATTAACGTGAGGGGGGAAACAATGAGAATGATAAAACTCAGGGGGTAACTAATTAATTTTTGGAAATGCAGGGTTGGATTAATAATTATGACATAACCTCAGGGGTTTATAGTGATTTTCCATAAAAAATTGTGAGATAAAAAATCTAAGATATACTCCCTCCGGTCCGAATCAAATTCACACTTTCCTTTTTGGATAGGTCCAAAATAAACTTCACACTTCTTCTCCCTTCCTTATTTGACAAATTATCTACATCAAAACAGTGTCAAACAGTGCGAAACAGTGTCACAACAGTGTACTCTACAATAAAGTCAAATTTATTTCCTTAATTTGTGTGAAGTCAAACATTGAATTTGTTTTGGGACCGGAGGGAGTACTATTTTTACTCTTGCCAACGAGGCAGTAAGTAAAATTAGAATGGTGAATTTGTAGATTTAAATAAGGTGGATAAACTATGAACTGAATACAGAATTACTACCTCCGTCCCGTTATGATTGTCCCATTTTACTTTATCGGTCCGTCCCACTAAAATTGTCTCATACCAAATTTGGTAAAGTTTGTGTCGCTCTAAATCATTCTTAATTTATTCTTACTTTATCAATTCAATGCCAATCACATAAACTACTTTTTATTAATTTGCGTGCCAATTCCTCTTGTCCCGTTGTTAGCGGGACGGAGGGAGTATTTATTTATTTATGGGAAAATCGCACTTTTAGTACCTGAAATAGTCATCATGTTAAAATGTCAGACCCGTATTTCCGAGATTGTAAATGTTACCCTTCAATTTTCTAAATTGGTGTAAATGTGGTCGTTTAAGGGGTGAAATGTATTCCTCGCCCACATTGTACATTTTACCCCTCAAAGGATCCCATTTATAACAATTTGAACAATTGACGAGTGCCATTTATAAACTAGAGAACACGAGTCTGACATTTTAATATAGTGACTATTTCAGAAACTAAAAGTGCGATTTTTCTTTTATTTATTAAAAAAGAAGCATTTGTTACTTAGAATCAGTGTTCTAAAAGGCTTCATAAAGCGCCGCAAAAGCGCGCCTATGCGCCAGGCGCAGCCCAAACGCCCCGCATATACTGAAGGCTGGGTTTGAGCAATCAAAACTCCTATATGGATGAATTAAAACCACGCAGGACCCACTAAGCCACGTAGACCCTCTAATAAATGGGGCTACAGCCATAGGCATTAGGGACTACGTAGGGTTGACCTTTGTTTGCCTATTGTTCAAGTGTAAGAGTGGCTTCAATTATAAAGAGTCTAGAGGAGTAATTTTCAGCTTCGCATCCGGTGTGGGAGAATGAATGTGTGATACAGACTATTTAAATCTCGGTTGCACCCTTGTCTAGCTTTCTTAAGTTGTCAGTTTCTCAGATTTAAATTTTCATCTACTCCGTATTATTTTGCTCACACACTCACATGACAAAAATTTAATTTAATCAATGATTATTATTAATATTGTATTATCTCTATTAGATATTAACAGTATATTATCAATTTATTATAATTTTACTCTTATATTAGTATAATATACTTATTATTTTTATCGGTGTTGAAATAATTACATATACCTGATAATACATTAGGTATTATTTATTTTTATTAATATTAATATTTTATCATAAAACTATTTTTTTGGTTCTTGCTTTAGTGTAATTGGTAAATTTATACTCCGTATTTGTTATATTTAGGACTTTGAAAAATCTCTTTTGTTGAAAATGAGAAAAGTATGATGTTTTTAAATAACAATATTTAATATTAAATTTAAATATTTGAAATAGCTCTAGGAAAACTAAAATAAAGGATAAAAATTCAAAACGTCTTTTCACGTCTCAACCCCGCCTAAGCCCGCCTAGGTTTCAAAGGCGTAAGACTTGATCGTGTCGCTTCGGCACGCCTTACGTTGGAACATTGCTTAGAATAGGTTAAAAGAGAAATATGGAGGCTTCAAATTGGTAGGGAATGATAGTACGGGTAAAGGTGGGAGGTAGCGCGAAATCCTGCTCTCAACCACAAGTCCTTAACTAACTAACATACACGATTCTCTCCTCCTTCACATTTCTGAAACACATAGCTCCACCTTTTCCCCTAGCTTCCATTTCCTGTTATTATTCAAATAAAACCAATCGAATTGGGGAAGTCCGGATCTTTGTCGCTTGATTTTGACAGAGAGCAGGCATTCCCCGGCCGGCCTTCTGCGTCCAAGCTTCTTGTTCGTGCGCTGCAGGAGGGACCTCATCAATAACCTAACCTACCATCTTCTTCTCATCCAACGCTGCCCGCTGGTATACAATACATTATTGTCGACTTGGCATCGTCTCATTCTCGTCTATGCATAACACATTTTTATCGATGCTTACTTAGTTATTCATGAATTGTAGAGATCCAAGCTTGTATAAAATACGGAGATATTTTTTTATGATTAAATAGGTAGTAATATGGTTTGAAATCGAAGACTGAGCCCAAATATTTCAATTCCGCAAAACACTGCTTTCTATCTTTCATTTGTGCAGCCTCTTATAATAATGTTCAACACATCAAAATTGTTTATAAAGTTGATTATGATTTTTATGCAACAATAAGAAATGCCTGACCCTCTCCACTCCCCCTATTTTTCAGCTGTATATATATTTATGCCGAATTAGATTGAAGGAGTGATGCAAGGGCAAAAAATGGGGGAGCTGGAGGATGAGCTCAGAGAAACCCGGGAGCAACTCGGCTTCGCTGAGGACCAACGGAACCGAGCCCTTGAAGAACTTCAGGAGATCAAACATGAGCTCAAAACTATAAAAGATTCGCTTTCTGTCACACAACAACAGCTGGAGCTCAAGGACGTCAACATTGAGTCTTTAAAATCTGAGCTTCAAAGAGCCAAAGACGACAACATCCAATGCTATGAACACAAACAGAATGACCATGAACTTGAAATTCTAAAACATAGACTTTCTGTCTCGCAAGAAAGTGAGGAGGCCGCATTGTTGAAGGTCACCAGTTTGATCGAAGAACTAAACTCACTGAAGAACGAAGTGAAGCTGGCAACGGACGCGGAGGAGAAAAGCAGAAAGGCAATGGATGATTTGGCGTTAGCCTTAAAGGAAGTCGCGACCGAGTCCGCTGAGGCTCGGGGCAAGCTTTCCGGTACTCAGCTTGAACTCGACCAAGTCAAACAAGAAGCCCAAAAGCTTAAAGAAATGGTGAGAGGCAGCGAGGAGAGGTACGAGAAGCTCTTAGAAGATGCCAGGAAAGAAACCGAGATGCATAGGAATACAGTGGAGAGGTTGAGGTTAGAGGCAGAGGAGTCAATTTTCGCTTGGAACGGGAAAGAGATGGGGTTTGTTACTTGCATCAAAAGGGCAGAAGAAGAGCGCGCGGTTGCCCAACATGAAGCCAATAAGCTAGCTGAGGCCTTAAGGGCAGCCAGGGAAGAGAGCTATAAGTTGAGGGATATATTGAAACAGGCCATCAACGAAGCCAATGTTGCTAAATCTGCTGCTGACATAGCCCGGGCCGAAAACTCCCAACTCAAAGATCTCTTGTCCGAGAAGGACGAATCACTACACTTCCTATCCCGGGAGAATGAACGTCTCAGGATTAACGAGGCTGCAGCCAACGAGAACGTCAAGCAGTTCAAACTAATGCTCTCCTACGTCTCCCGAGAGCTCAAAGCTGAGGAAAAGGAGGACTCACCCGAGGAAGAAGACGATGAGGATGACGATGATGAAGACCATTTGCAAATGACCAACGGGTTAGATCCAAGAGACGAAGAGGAGGATGAAGACTACCACCCTGTGGTGAGAAAGTTCAGCTTCGGCCTTAGCGAGCTGTCGTTGCTCAAGGACGAGGACGAAGATGCACATTCGCGGATTGAACACGAGGACCCCGAGAAGCTAGAGGCGCTTAAAGGGTCCATCTTCGACACGCCATTCTCGCCCAAGTCAGAGCCGCGGACTCCACAGCGACACATGACGCATCACCGACGCAAGTCGACCGCGTTCACGGACGCAGAAGGATCGCCGAGTGCAGAAGATGCTGAAAATAACAGTGCTGACATTCACCATCATATCGATGAATCAGATAATGAAAGGATTTCACATAGAAGGAAAAGAGCATTGTTTCGTAGAGTTGGAGACCTTTTATTGAGAAAGAGTTTCAGCAGGAAGGAACCATCCCCTGTACCATCACCTTCCCCAGTCTCAGTTCCACCACAATCCCCAATCCATGAGTAGGCCAGCCTCTATTCATTTTTTTTGTATTTCATAGCTATCTATACACATACACATACACACCTCTAAAAGCTATGACGTTTTTTAGATTCACATAATTATAACTCGCCCCATTGATATGCCCAATGTGCGAATGTTCTTGTACAGAGTAATATTTTTCTTTACGTAGTACGTAGTATTCTTTAAGGAATTCTCATTCTTTTTTTGCTGTAAGGAACTCTCATTCTTGTAAACTAGAATTTTCAAAGAATGTATAGTTATCACAATATTAGTTCATACAGTTTGATCAAAGGCATAATGAGAAATACTAAATATTATGTACATATTTTTATAAGCAACATTTGATGAAGTATTGGACGATCGACCATCTCATAACATTAGAAAAGCCTTGAACAAAATAGACTTGTTACTATTGTGATAATCTATCACCACATGAAAATGATATGCACCAGTCTTGAAAATGTGCACCGTGCACATTGATACAGATGCAATTTATTTCTCTCATATCACGTACACATTATTGCATTAGAGATACTTTTAGTTATCTCCTACAATAATCATATTTGTACTCATAATTGAGAATGCAGCGATTTAGAAGAAGAATGAAACTAATCACATTGTTTCGTATTAGTTTTGCTATTAAAGCCATGCAAGCCATCCCATATATACAGATTTTATATGGATGAAAAGGAAATAAGAATACTACACAATGGCAATTACTACGAAGTAATACATATGGCAACTTTTAAAGATATAAATAAAGTAAAACTGCGTATATGGCAAGAATAATAAAGATATTCAATATCTCATTAATACCCCTTAAGTTAGAGCATGAGGGTCCAAAATGCCTAACTTGCAACGTAAGGCATGAAACAGTGTACGCCAAAGCTTTGGTAAGGATTCCCGTGAGTTATACGGTAGCAGGAGCGTAACTAGGCGCAATAAGACAATCCTTAATAGCATCTCGACCAAAATGACAGTCAATTTCAATATGTTTGATGCATTCATCAAAGATATGATTGCGGGCAATGTGAAGCGCGAATTAGCTATCACAAAAAGTGGAATAGTCTTAGTGTGATCGATCCCAAGACTAAGAAGTTCACATGTTGCGGCTGTCATAGAATGATACCTGACTTCACCAGATGAACATTAGACTGTTGATCGTTTCTTGGTCTTCCAAGAAATTGGGGAATGACCAAGAAAGACCAACCATCCCGCTGAGATGGACTTTCACACTCGGAAGGCGGCCCACTCGGAATCAAACCAACCAGATAAAGTAAGAGTACTTTCGGCCCAAAGTAGTATACCCTGGCCAGGTGAGCCCTTCAAATATCGAACCACACAAAGGGTGGCACCCAATGTTCCTGGAAAGGCTAACGAGTGATTGCCATATAAATGAGTCATCCAATAAAGCAGCGATAAGATGCTGGATCCGAAAGGATAACACCATACACTTTTGCAAGAGAGTGATTATGGTTAATAAGAGTTGTAGTAGGTTTGAATCTAAGAGGCCAGTATCATAAATAATATCAAGAGTGTATTAATGTTGAGTGAGAAACATTGTCGGACCCACTACGCGCAACCTCAATACCAAGAAAATATCGCAAAGCACCCAAATATTTCATATGAAAGTTATCACTTAAATATGACTTGAAATCACAAATAGCATCCCTATAATTTCTAGAAATAATCAAGTCATCGACATACAACAACAACAACATCCACACCTTAATCCCAAAAGATTTTGGGGTCGGCTAACATGAAACAATTCATGATATCGATGCAAAAAAGAAAAGACATGCAAGAAGAAAAAAAAGAATAAACAAATAAGAAAAAAAGCATCTTTGCGCTTGGGGCAATGACGCAGCTAGTGAGGTATTAACTGAGGCACGTCTATTGCTGGTTGAAAACTAATCAAGTCATCGACATAAATAAGGAAATTAAGATGTACCATACCGCGAGTCCTAGTAAACAAAGAATAGTCTCCATAAGATTGGAGAGACTCAAGCTTTCAGGGCATTAAGAAGTTTAGCAAACCAACAGTGTGGCACTTGTTTCAGTCCGTAAAGAGATTTTCGAAGATGACATGCTAAGGACTTCTCAGAAATAGAAAACCCCAACGACAATTGCATATAGCTAGACTTCCTTTTCAAGATCGCCATGCAAAATTGCATTATGTACATTCATTTGATGTAACTCTCGTTGTTTAGAAGTCAAAAATGCTCGCATAACACAATTTTCGCGACGGGGATGAAAGTTTCAGAATAATCTAAATCGACAACTTGCCTATTGACGAAAAACCAAACATGCCTTCGGTTGCTCCATGCTACCATCTGAATGATTATTTTTGTAGACCCAACGCCACCCCAAGGCACACTTTCCAGGATGAAGTTATTTTGTTTTCCATGTGTGATTATCCTCCAGAGCTTGAATTCCAGCACGCATCGCCTCTGGGCACCCAAGATCTTTAATAGCTTCTTGGATAATGTGTTTGGTTCGTGTCCTGAGGTAATAACTACAAAAATGTCCTGATATTTGGGAGAAAAATTATTACAAGTATCGTAATGTGCTATAGGGAACGACATACTTGGGGAAGAGGGTGAAAAAGATGGAGTAGGGAATGGACTATCAGCTACCATAGTATGAGTAACATAATCACACAATACAACAAAAGGTTGTGGATGTCGCATGTCGTGACCAAACACAAATGCTTATAGTTGGGGGATGGTAGAATTTGCTACGTCAATCACGCCTTGAGCTGTAGGAGGAGATGATGGGACGTCACTATGTGGTTGACGATGGATATTGGGAGAATCCGGAGTAGGGTCACCCAAATACTCATATATGGCTGGATCCTCATGATACTCAAGTGGGGCTGAGATGTCGGGTAAGGACACAACATTGGGAAATGAATCCTCAAAGAATTTCACGTCTCGAGTAACAAAGAATTTTCCAGTTTCAAGGTCAAAACCCCACCACCCTTTTTTACAAAGGGATAATCGACAAACACACACTTTCTACTAGGGCTGGGAATTTGAACCGAAAAACCGAAAATCGAACCGCCAAAGAAAGAAACTGAGCCGAACCGAATCGAAAAAATTGGGACCCGAAAATTGAGACCCGAAGTCTACCTCGGTTCGGTACCGATTTTTGATATGTTAAATGTCGGTTGAACCGAACCGAACCGATATTATATTTTATTTATAAAACCATTATTTTTATTATATAAATTTTGAAATTTGAAAAGCCCAAGTCCTCATTTGGCCCAGCTTCCCCGGTCCATTAGGCTAGGAAAATCTTCTCAAGCGGACATATCACATTACGTTGATGCTGAAGTGTTGAATGGGCGGAACGGCTGAAGAGGAGGTCAAGAGATTGTCTGCTACCATCTTCGCTGCCTGGTGCCGTCTATCAGCTACTGTCGTCTACCATCCCTCCGGCTACCATCTCCGGACTAACATAGTAACATCGCAGGTAAGTCCCCTCCCTTGAATACTCGTGATTAATGAGTCCAGCGCACTTTGAGGAATACTGGCTACTTTGATGCTCTTATTAAAATGGATTTGAATGGATTTGATTATTTGGATGGATTTAAGGAGTAGCAGCCTTAGGGGGTGTTTGGAACTGATTCTGATTCTGCTTCTTTTTTAAAGCAGAAGCAGAATCAGTTTTCAGAAGCTGGTCACCCCCAGTTTCTAAAAAAACTGATTCTAGGAGTAAATTAGAGCACCAGAATCACTTCTGCACTTTTACCCAAACACTCCAACTTCTACTTCTGCTCCCTGAAGGAGCAGAAGCACTTTTAAGAATCAAATCCAAACACCCCCTTATTAAAATTCTTAGTTGCGAGTGAGGAGTGGCACAAAGGTATGGTCTGCAGTAGCGGGGATGTGATTGTCTGCTTGATATGCAACACTTTATTATCTATTTATTTTGTTCTTTTATATTTAAAATTGTAATTAACTCTTCTGTTTTTTTGAAAACAAATAACTTAATTATTATTAATGAAGATGACAAGAAACATTACAATCATAAAGCTCAAGGCTACAATAGGATGAGACTTAAAAATGGACGATTCTAATCGAAAACGCCGAATCGCTAATCCCGCAAAGAAAGAGACTCTACCTGCAGATTGACTGCTCCTGCTACGATCACAATAATTATCAAAAGAACTCTTAAACATCCCAGTTTCTCCAGCCACCGGTAAGGAGATAACTGTAGAATTTGTTCCGGTTTCACCAGCCACCGAAAAGAAAGCAACCCAAATGATCTCATCTTCCTGGAACGGTGGTGGTTCAGAAGGGGGGCGATTCGTCTCAATATCGTCGCAGAAGAAAATCATGTTTTTAATTGATGAAGAGATCAGTGCAAATCTCTTCTTAGCACACAAGAACGCCCGACCGAAAGTGGCGGAGAATATGGATCTGGCAGACGATATTTCGCTATCGAAAATAATACCTCCAAACAACGTTGGGAAAGAAACACATGAATAAAACTGAAAACACTGATTAAGAAGATGTTTTTCTATTATTGAAATCAAAGAAGATTGAAAGAAGAGAAGAAAAGAAGAGAAAAAGAGGATGCGGCGGCTAGGGTTTCCCAATGCCATTGCGGCTCCTCTCTCTAGACAATTTTTGTTGTTGTAATTAACTCTGCTGGTAAAACTTGTTAAATGACAAATGTGTGCTCTTTTATTAAATTTATATGTATTTGTTTTAGTCAGTTAATTAATCCATGAAATTATTTGAAATAAATGTTATAAACAGTTTGATGTACATGTATAAAATACTCCGAGTATAATTAGTATTGCATGCATAAGGTAAAATAGCAGTGTAAAATAAGAGTGGTACACCTTTGAGTCCTTTGGCCCTTATGATTTTATAATATTTAACTTTCTTAGTTGATAAAATTTTATCATGATTTTATTTAATACGTAGTACATTTTAATGAAAATTGTGTATGCAACCAAGTATAATGCTCTTTTAGATGAATTCAACTTCTAACTTAAATGTTATTTAGATGGATGCTCATTCAAGTTCCCAACCTCAAAGTTCTCCCTTTGAGGAACAATCTCAAACCCAAGATACCATGCAAGATTCTACTGGTGTTGTTAGTAAAAAGAAATCGGGAAAGAGTATTGTATGGGACCATTGTACAAAAGGGGAAGGTAAAGATAATGAGGGAAATGTGTATCCAATTGCTATATGCAATTATTGCCAAAAAGAGTACC